ATTAACGAATAGGCATCAGTACTCGTTGTTGGATTTTTTAGAATTCTTTCAAATTTCTTTTGACCTGGACCCCATTCCATTTTGGCTAAATGTAAATTACCCAAAAGAGACCAAGCATCTGGATGTTCATTATTTATTCTTAAAGCATCTTTAAACCAATCAGATGCTTCATAAATTTGTCCTTTATCTCGAGCCATACAACCAAGTCGTAAATAACAATCCACGTAATTTGGATGCTCCTTTAAAATGTCTTTGTATAATTTTTCCGCTTTATCAAATATACATAAAGCTTCGTTTAATCGAGCCAAATTATATGTTGTCGTAACTGCTATTGAATTATAATATACAGAATCATGTAAGGCATCTGCTTTGGAACGTGCTAAAGATTCTTCCAAATTTTTTCTAGCTTCTTCCAAATTTCCAAGTCTATAATAAGATAATAAATATTAATCTTAACACTATATATTTTAACAGTATACAATAATAATTTAAGACAAAAAATATGGAATATACCTATAATGTAGAGCTCCAACGTTATTTAGAATTTCAGGCGGTATATCCGCTTGAACTTTTTCTTTTAAAATTCTAGTTGCAGTACCATATGCATTTAAGGCTGCGTTAAGGTCACTTTGTTCTAATATTTGAGCCAATTCAATCCAGGCTTCAACATCATCGGGAAATTGTTCAGTTACTTTTCGAAGATGGTTTTTAGCAATGTCGCGTTTTGATTGAGAACTTGAATTTGCATATAACGATCCAAGAATTTTCATTGTTTCATAATTACCTGGTTGAGCTTTTAATACTTTCTCGAAACATTGTGCTGCCTATAATAAAAAAATTAAATTAAAATCTATTATTATATTATTAATAAAATCTATTAAATTTTATTCTTTTACATAATAGAACTCGTTATACTTACATTTTCTGCATCACCTCTATAGACATACATTTGACCTAAACCAAAATGAGGTAATACAAATACTGGTGGTGCAAATTGTGTTGCCTGATAATAATATTGAAATGCTTGATCATAATCACCCTGAAATAATTTAATTATTTGTTAAAACTCACAAAATATTAAAAAATATTCTATATTAAGAAGAAACTTACTTGCACATGAAATGCTCTAGCTAATTGATAGCAACTCTCAGCACGCATAGCTTCATTTTCAGTATTATGAAATGCATGAAGTGCCAAGTGTTGTACTTTGTTATAGTCTTTTTTAAAGAAAAAATGATTTGCCAAATGATTTAAAACCATAGGATTTGTTGAATCAATTGTATAAGCTTTAGATAACATTTGCACACCAGTTCTGATACTATCAGGTTGTTGTTGATTTAATTTCAAGACTGAAAGACCAACTAGTGCTCCAACACATTGACCATCTAATTGCAATGCTCTTTCAAATGCTAAACGCGCCTTTTCTTGATTATTTAATTTCATAAAACAATGCCCCATTCCCAATCTCACGGCAGCTGGACAATTTGGATTTGTTCTTAAAGCTTTTTTATAAAAAGCAAGTGCACCTCTATAATCTTTCTTGTTAAATGCTATACATGCTTTTCCAAGTAAAGAAGGAATATTATTAGGAGATTGATTTAATACAAAATTAAATTGGGCATCAGCTTGATCCATCTTATCACCCTCCAAGAGACAGAAATAAGCTCTACCAAGTAAATGATTCTATACACAAAAAATATTATATATAAATAAATTTTTTAAATATTTTTCAATGTTATATATGTTCAATAAATTATTACAAATATTATTATAAATAGTATATACCTGATCATACATAATAATTTTATCTGCAGTTGTGTACAATAAAGTAGCTTTTGTAAAAAGATCTCTTTTCTTATCTTTATTTTTTTCTCTGTTGGCTTCCTGCACATAATATGCAGCCAACATATCCAATGCACGCATTTGATCTTTTTCATAGTCACGATAATCAATATTAGCATCAATTCGAGAAGATTCAAGTATTTTAATGAAATCATCGATTTTATGTTGTTTATAATATTCAAGCTGTAATAAATACCAATATATTTTACTTCCTATCATTTTTATATTATACATATTATATTTTATAATACATACGGCCAAATTGACCCAGATATTAAGCTGTGCATGTTCTTGACGTAAAATTCCAAGAACTTCATCACCTTCTGGTAATTGATCAAGATATAGTTCAATTACCTAATAAAATGCAATTTTAAAAATTAAAATAATTAATCAGTGATATGATAAAAAACTTAAATATATAATATATAACAAACATAAAAAAATAGATAAAAAACTGAAAAATTTTAGTTTAATATTATACACAAATAATATTTAATATTTTGTTAGACATAGTATACATATCATAAATGAATAACATACTGAAAATAATATGAACATAAAATAAGGTTAATAAATCAAATTAAAAATTATATAATTAAAACAAATAAAACAATAGTAATTTATAATTTTATATTCTAGAATAAATTTTAAGTAACATTATTGATGATATAGGCTAATGTACACAATTTATTTTATAAACATATCTGGTGTAGAGGTTAGGCATATGAAAATTATTTTTATATTTTAAATATTTAAAGAATTTGAATTTGTGCACAAATCACATATAATAGCAATCGTTTAGACTATTTTTAATCATTTAAAAATTATAAAATTGAAACTTAAAAATAAAAATATTCACCTCATCTGTATCACGAAGCGGAATCTCTATGGAACCTGCCATTGTGGCATTGTCACTGATCTTTGCAAAGCACAGTCAACAGATGTCGTATTAAGTGAATGTAACCATAGCGTATTTGCTATATTGGTACAGATAATGTGTAATACTCCCGTCAAAACACTTATATATCAAGATGAATATTTTGTGAGATAATCATCCTAAAATTATAAAATAACAAAAATATAATATTTATATTTTTTCCATTAAAAATTAAAATACATTATTTTGAAAAAGAAATAATAAAAATGTGTTCAATTGATATTTGTCTGTCACGTGCTAAAAGAAACTATAGACAATAACTTTACCAGATCAAGGGATTTAAGAGATTTGAGAAACTTGAAGAGAAAATAGTGGGAGAAAAGACAGTGGTGGGAGTTTAGCAATTGTTACTTACTGTTTAGCAAAATATAATATATGTTAGATATAATATAAATGGTATAAGTGACAATGGTACTAATAGTTGGATTATGAAAATAGCCTAAAAGGAAAAGAAAGGAAAAAAATCTTTTGTTGAAGATTTCTCTTAGTAATCTTAATAAAGAGAGAAAATATTAGAAGAAAAATAGAAATTAGGTTAAAAATATTTTCAATCACAAATGATAAATAAAAATATAAAATACATAAGAAAATTATAAAAAATTATAAAAAATAAAAATAAGAAAATTATAAAAAAAAACAAAAAAATGAGAAAAAGATAAATATAGAATAAAAATTGACTATATGATATTTCTTAAATCAAAAATTATAGATAAGAAAATAGAAATGTTTTTTTATGATACAAGAATTAGATTATTTGTGTATCAGGTAATATTTTTTCATAAAAATAAATATATTTAGAATTAATTTATTCACAATGAAACAAATATACAATAGTTTATTACAATCAATTTATTTTTTTTAAATTTATATTTTTTTCTAAATTTCTTTTTTAATCTATTTATATTATTTATATTATATTTGTTTTTATTTTTTGTCTATATTCGAAGAATAAATAAATTTCTTATAGTCTTTTCAAATTGGAAATTCACTTTCATATCATATTCGATTTATCGAATTATACGAATATATTAAATTGAATATATTCTAATTTATAATTCGATAATCGTAACGTGAAATGTTATAGGGTCAATAATTATCACGTTTATTCATTTTTTTTTTTGAGCTGTATGATTTATCTGTTGTATATTTTCTTTCTTTCATAATTATTTTTTATCATTTGTATCAATTTTTAATTATTATACACTGTAATTATTATATATTATTACAAACATTATTATATTAGCATGTAATTAATATGTTTCTTAAATTTATATATAATTTTATATTTTTAAATTAGAAATTTTTTAACAGCTAATGCCTTTTTTTTATTCATTTAACGATTAAAATTATAGATAGTTTATATTAGATTTTTCTAACATAGAACTTGGTTTTTATTTTATTTTAATTTAATTTTAATTTAAAATTATTTTATTTTAATTAATTTAATTAATTTTGTATAATTTTATAATTTTAGATATTTATTTGAAAATTTTGATTTTCTTTTGTTTAGGTTATTAACTGATTACTTTCGGGAAGGCGGGAAAAATTTCAATATGGACGCCATGAAGAAGTGATTAATTTAAATTTTTTTGACAACATGCACAAAATAACAAAAAATTAAAATATATGTTATAACAAAAAATATATTATATATTATTTCAATTTTCACGTGGATTTAAAATAAAGAATCAGCAGCTTTAAGTAACTAAAAAATTACTAGATTCAGATGTTTAGACAAATTAATGTGCATCATAGTAAATCGATCTAAAATTGAAAATCATAGTGATAGAACGTATTTCACCTTGGTTAAGATATTTAGATTATATTACACTATATGACATAAAAAATTCTAATTAAAAATTAAAAAAATTAGAACATGTGATATAAAGTTTCGTAAGATTTCATGTCTACTTTGTTTTTCGGATCGTGCAAAGATATTTTTAAAGCAACGTAAAATAAGAATTGAGTATCAACGCCATCTTTTAGTAGTTGTGAAAAGAAAAATTTAATAGATAGTATTGAATTTCTATTATTATTCTAGTTTCTTAGAGAAAGTTTCAGTATTCAAAAGATGGCACTGATGGCTTGATTTTACGAACATATTTTTATTATTTCTGTTCCTCTCTTATTATTTCTTTATCTATACAAAAGTCTGGAAAATTTATATTCAATTTCGATATTTGATTAACTTTGTCTTTTTTTACATAACCTATCTTAATGAAAAATTTTAATAAAGTCTATTCTAATTTTTATATATCGTAAGTAATATCAAAAGTTTATTGTGAATATCTCTTGTGAAGACTAAGAAGAAAGAAAGAAATAAAAAAGGATTAATTTATCATTCGTTTATTAATTTACTTCAAAAAAATATCCATACTACGTGAAATAACATTCTGAGAAATGGATGGACGATAGAATGTAAATACAATCTAATGCATTTACGAACAAAGGTAACAAGAACCATAAAAATAATTATCACTGACTATGACTTATTATTTTACAATAGGAAATTATTTAATGTTCTTCAGTACTTAGTTATAGTAACAATTAGTCATCCTATTATCATTTACAAAGTATATTGAGCAACAAGAATGTATAGTACTTACATTTCGATAAACAGTTAAATCAACAATGAAAATCGCATTTATCGCGACTAATCGATATTTATGAATTATTTAAATTTTTAGAAAAATCACTGTACTAATTAGAACACTGTATAACGCGTATTATAAACTTATTGATCGACAAAGAGATCTATTTATTTTTACCTATCATAGAAAACGAAAAAATGTCTTTTTCTTTTGAATGATTAGTCTAAAATTTCGTGTAAAATTTCAACAAGAACGCACACATGGCAAAATTTATTTATTCCTCGGCTTGCTTTACATCTTCCTAAGATCCTAAGATCCTTTCTCAATCGTAGTAATTTCCATAGAAAGAAGTGAAAGCTGTATCAGAGCTAACACTCGGCGGCAAACTCGTAGCGTCCATCGTTTCCTTTTCGCTGCCAAGAGTCGATGTCCTTACGTCGAGAGTACCACTTACGCCAGACATCCCTGAACTTGTAGCCATTTCCACTTCTCCAACGTCGGGATGAGACATATGTCTTAAAATGACGTCACTTTAATCCACGGTCAATCGTTCGTTAATTTCTTGTCAGGGCAGTTGGTAAAAAAAGAAGAAAATTTAAGTAAAAATAAAGAAATAATATTATCAGAAATTTTGCGATTAAGTTTCGTGGAAATGTTTCTTGAAAAATTAATTTATTCATTATAATGTAAAATACGTCGCGTTGAAAAGAGAAAATAAAAAAGACATTAAGACATGTTAATTGCATAATCATATAGAAAAAAAATTTTTAGAATATGAAGTACGTTTCAATATATTTTTGCTTTTTTAAGTCTGTAACAAATATATATAGCGCCTGAGAAAATACAAATTGTCTTGAAAACCGGTAGATATCATCATTTTTGATATTTCATTTTTGATCATTTTTTTTTTCTTTTACGTTCTCCTTTTTATTCAATTTTTTTAATCAAGTGTACTTTTCGAGATAGATCTATTTGATAATTAAAACAGGTTACATTGAAAAACATTTCGTGAACATTACCTGTAATCTGGAGCAGAAGGTTCAGCTTGCTGCCTTCGCGAGTTCGACGCCATTGGTGTTCTCTTTATCGCGTAAATATATATACCCGTCATTGTGAGCGTGTATGAGACGAAATATAATGCGTGAAACTGGAACAACATGGAAAAAGCCTTATTAGCATATGTGATTGTGTATTGTTATGCAGCTGGAATAAATATTTCTATATATAATAACGAGTAGCTCTAAATACATACGGAGAATCAGAATAATCCAAATATTATATTCTCCGTTTATGATGGATATTAGGAATTTATATTTTATATGAAAAATACCTTATATTGATGGACTAACATGCCAGCTAAAACGTTGAAAGAATCTGCTGTCAACAATGATAGTTGCAATGCAGTTGCACCAGATTCATATAATACGACAGGCACCAATGAAAAAAAGATGAATTGCGTGATGCAATAAACTACCAAGAAAGTGATTACTGGTGTATTAATCCACTGTAATGATTCTATCTTTAAGCTTTCCAATATGGCCCTGAAATCATGTCAATCAATTTATACCATTTTACAAATAGTTTTCTTTTTTTCAATGAAACTTACATTTGCAAACAGCACATTATAGTACCGAAGAAACCAATCATGCCTAGATACTCGATAACATCGACCGTCTTCACTGCTAATTCTTGTATCACCGTTGTTATGGAAAACAATATCACGCCTCCGAGGCATAACATATCACCGACAAGATGATTCTTTCCTTCGCACGAAAAATTGAAATTAACAAATTTGATAATTAAATTTATTAATTAATAATTATTATTAACTCTTGTATAGATTTCAATATTTGATCGTCGAAATTATCAAACAATTACCTGCGGAAGGATCTTTATTGTCATCGATTCCTGCCCAAACCAAACATCCCACTCCCATCAATGAAACGGAAACGCCGACTATGTGCACCATTCGATATCTCACCCCGAGAATCAAACATGATAATGCCAATGCAACCGGTATAGCGACACAATCGAGCAACTGAAACAGAATTACTTCCGGTTAAACATGGTCGATTCTTCGAATCGTTAAAATTTTAATACAGAACGGATGACGATGACGATGTCCCTTATATTCGCATCGCGTTCGATTAAGAATAGCCGACGAGGGGTGAGTGTACCGGGTCGAAGACCCGGCATTCTCGTTTCGCTGGTGGTAGTGTGTATTCGATACAATAGTTGTTCCATGCCATTCATCCAGATCACGAACACTACCTCGTTTAATTGACGGCTGAGCTATGAAAGATGCATCCTGAACCGCATATAGATCGCATGATGTTCTAGTTGTGCATCTTATTCCAACAAAGGAGAATTCTGTGCCAACATTCAATGCACTATTTTTGCATTAAATAGGATCTTTCTATTAATATTATATCTTTCTATTATAAATATAACTATAAATATCGAACAAGCATATTGAATTTCATATAAATTTATACGTATTAAATAAAATTAAACGAAGAAAATACGATAAAAGAGAAAATAATTTTTATTCGTTTAAAAGAAATGAAGAAATTTATTCAGTTGGATATAAATATCTCGTTATGCAATTTCTACGAAATAATTCTTTTGTTAATATTTTTTTTTTTTTTTTAATGTAGGTCATGCCAGAATGGAAACAATTAATGGCCTACTTCCGGTGTATGCTGCACAAAAACTGTCGAGAACTTCATCATCGTTGTTTGGGAAAGTCCCCCACGTAAAAAAAGTAATCCCACGTGACATCATTAGCACATACCTGTATGCCAGCGATGCTGGTGAATTGATGCGCGGATGTTATAAGAGTACACGCTTCGACGTCAATGAGTGCTACCAACAAGTACCTGAATCCACGGGCTTTTATAACTGAAATTAGGCCGTTCCCTACTCCCCTGCAGGACATCCAGGTTGTGTATACGAGACACATCATAATGTAATGCGGAAGATTTTGTCCTATTTCATGCAAACAAATTTACACAACTCGTTACATCGTTATATGATGAGCTTTTCATGCAAACTCATTAATGACTTACCGGTCGGGAATGAAAGTTGGTATGCTGTGTTGATGTGATGATTCGCGAGCGTCATGAAGCATAACACAAGGGACAAAAATTGTCCCAGTATTATCGCTTTCCATACTGACCTATTAACGTTGAAAAATACAATTAAAAATATCATAAGTTTTAATCAAATCAAAATTTAAACCGATAAAATAAATATAACATTTCTAAACAAATTGTACAAAAAATTATCCACTTTTTCAACGAAATAATACGGTTTTCCGCATCATATTAATCCGATATCATATTAAAACCACTTTCGATCGAAAGTAAACAATTGGAAACAAACTAACGTATGCTCAAACACGAAAGAACACGGGATCAATGAACCGAGACGCGGTGTTTTTCCACCCACACGAATGGAAAAAAATTGGTCGTAAATACCCGCCACTTTTATTCCCGATGTTCCCCTTCCCCTTGACCGAGTGGAAGCCGGTTCGAGGGCGGATCGACGTTCGGTTTCCCCGTCAATGGATCACCAATCAATCTGGCTTACGCTTACCATTGTCCCAGATCCGATATGTAATTCTCGATCTTGTCGCAGACCCCGTTCCTGGCCTGCATCACCGTATTTTCGCGACGATCGCCCGCTGACACTCCCATGCCAGGGTGCATTTTCACCCCGAGGCTTTCACCCATCGGCGATGCAAGAGAGGCGCTTGCGCGACCTCTTTCCCTCCATCCGCTCTCCACCAGAAAGGACCGGTATTTTTCGTTTTGCGGACACGATGATGAAACGATGCGCGTAAACGCGATGGAACACGGTGTTCTACACTCGTCTTTTCTTGTTCCTTCTTCCGTTCTCTCCGACTTCGGATCGATCGATGAGAGAGGTATAGGTCCCTCGATTGTGCATGCTCTCGGGACGCCAACTTTGGCTAAATCGATCGATCGTTAAAGATGAATGAATTTCGTTTGAAGAGAGTATTGTGGTTGAAGGAAGGAAACTCGTTGACCTTTTGATGAGAAGTTTTGAAATGGAAAAGGGTGGAGAGGGTATGAATAGAGAAAAGGTAAAAGATCGATCCATTTTGAAGCGCGATTCTGTTGAAAGGATAATTGATCAAGTTGGAAATTATTAATCGATAATTATAATTATAATATATAAATAACTATAATATATATTATAATAATTATAATTATAATTATTTAAGAATTTATTCAGATTATTGATCTATGAATCTTGGTTTAGGATTAAAAATAGAAGAATAATGATGTAAAGAAGTATGTCTTTCTTTATTCTCAGGTAATCTTGTTTTGTATAGATCGTTATTTACACTATATTGACATTGTTTGATTAAATTGCGATTTCAGTCAATAATTTTTTTTTTTTTCTTTTAAAAAAGTTTCCACGTAATCGTAGAAACCTATACATTTGATATAAACTTTTAAACATCTTCAACTTACGTAATAATCCTTATAATATCTCAAACATTACATGTTAATGAGTTAAATTGTTATGCGAAAAATGTGATCATTTCCGACGTATGAAAAGAAGGCAATCGCAACGTTTATGATTTAATGTAGTAAATTTGTGCAGTCGGTTCACTTGTCGATGATCAACAACACTTTGTAAATTATCTATCTAAGGAGGAAATTGTGTCGAATATACGAATATCCAGCCATCTTTACAAAGTTGGAAAAATAAGTTGGAAAAATATTTTGCCCAGTCTCCCGGCTTGTTTCACTCGTTCACGCGTGATCGAAATCTGTTGCGCGTGCAACTCGCATAATTTCTTCGATTAATCTGCATTCCAATCGTGTGTCGAAGAATTCGTGTAAAAGTTGGAATAACGATTAAATGTCGAATGTAAAAGGTATGCATTCAATGTTCTATGTAGTTTATCTATCGACAGACGAGTGAAAGTATAGCGTTCTAAAAATTGAAAATGGTACGTTCGCGACGATTTAACGCGCCATATTTTTTTGCGTATAGAAATTACAACCTACGATTATCGAAGACGATTCAGGAAAGAGATTTTTCCTTAGTAAATTGTTTGATTTTGGTCAATTATATGAAAAGTGACATAAATACGAAAAATTTTCTTTATTTCTTCTTTGCCTCTTCCTCCACCGCCTCGTTCTGCTTGCGGAAGCAATCACCGACTGGGAAGAAATCCCAACACCTTTGCTGATACATGTTCCACACGTACGTTTCTTGACCCGTGTATTCGGTGTCTGGTTTATTGATTAAGTGCATAAGGAAGAACCTTGAAAAAAATTTAAATCATTGCAGCTAATTGGTGATTTATTGATGAAAAACGAAAATAGGAATTGATCTAAATAACTTACATGTAATTAGCAAGATTGTGCTCCTGTTGGACATGAGTATCGAAACCATGTGGTACCGTATCGAAATATTCTTTTCCTAAACCACAAATGAAACAGTTGCTTTCCATGTTCGTTTTCACGTTCTCAAGTTGATCTCGAAGTTCACCGAACGCATCGATAATCAAACCTAAGATAGAAGGAAATATCAATTAAAATCATAGATGTAAAGAAAAAATAATGAGAGTTCAGGTTCAAAAATTTTCCTCGAATTTACCTTGAATAATGGCCAACAGAATAACAATGACGAAAAAGAAGAAAGTGATGTCAAACATGATACGGTAAACTTCATAATCATCGCCATCAGGTTCACCAATTTCGTCACCAATACCACCACCAGCTCTGACACCTTTGTACAGATGGAATACGAAGCACTGAAATACAAATATCGATCAATTTATCTTTATTCCAAGTATATTTCAATTATTAAAGAAAAGAGTTTTTAATATCGTACTGTTAACATGTCGTGGCATTTTTTATCTACTTCATCGTCTTCTTCTTGAATATAGAATTTTCTGAAGAAATTGAAAGCTATAACCGTATATATGTAGACGACAATAGTCAGTAACATTACTGTCAACACCAATTGTTTGCCATTGTGTGTCACAGACTGTAAGATCGTTCTCAGAGTTTTGAAACCAACTGCGACGTCCAGTAAATGAGCAGCGAAGAAGAAATTGTTATAATTGCCAAGGATTGAAAATGTAAAGTACCATAAACTGTACAAGAATGCCTGCATGAAAAAATATTATAATTTAATATTTGAACGAATTAAATCTTCCAAACACTCAATTATTTACTTACGTTATCCGTGATGGTAACTCCAGCTTTCCATACTTGATACCTCCAATCGATATTAACGATGCTGTAATAAAAAATAAAAATTATATAATAATTGTAAACTAAGAATCGAGGTAGGAAAAACAATGTAACTATGCAATTTTATTTACAAGTGTATCAAACCAGAACCCTCTTCTTCCTGTTGACTAAACGATGTCTTTTCCATCCCAAGCAAATTGCTGATGTAGTCGAAATCGTAGGTCTCACTGTATTTTTGTCGAACTTTCTTTTTTACGAACTTATCCCAATAATTCACAGGGAACGTTTTTGCCGATATCACCATCTTATCCCAATGTGCTTTGATATCATCCTCTTCCGGTGTTTCAGCAATATATAGACCATCGAATTCCACGCGTCGCGCAATTTCCTTTTCTCGTTTAAAGATAGCCAACGGTACCTAGGTCGTACATTCATGTTTTACATACAAAAATATTCGTACAAGCGAAATTTGTACATGCAAAATATTCTGAAAATCATACTTTCAAATGATAATAGGCAACTAGCATAGCAAGAGAGACGATCGCATGAAGAATAGCCATGAGCCTTATAACGTGTGCCATATAATAGAAATCCTCTGCCACTTCCACATATTCCAGAGCGTACTCATCTTCCTCTTCCTCCGATTCAGCCTCCCCGCTACCGCTACCTATTTCAACTCCACTGCCATTTCCAGAACCAGATGCACTCTCGCCAGACATCTCTGCCAACATATCCACTATCTGACCACTTCCTTCCTCACCTCCTTCGTTACCCAAAGACGAAACCTACGAACCAATGATTTATAATGTGACAATGAAATCTTAAATTAATATTCATTTTAGAAATTCTAGACAAAGTATCATACTCACCTTATAGAACAGCAACATAAAATTGATACAGAAAGCGAGCACTAGAGCCACGTATTTCAGATTATAAAAATTCCTTGCCAAGAAGGAGACAACGCGATGCGTATACTCGGAAAAGTCGATAGAGGAAGCTGATGGCTCTGCTATTGTTTCTTGTTTCGCTTCCGCCTCAACCGCAGCCATTGCTGCCTGTTGAGCTGCCGCTGCTTCTGCCGCGGCTGCAGCTTGAGCTCTAGCTTGTTCACCTCTGCTCGTAAATAAAATACAAATTTAAGTATATATTTTGTGTTTATGTTAGAGAGATAGCATAAGAATAAAATAATTATTCACCCTAACAAATCGGCCAACGAAACAGGTGATTCCATATCTCCACCTCCTTCAGCTCTCGCACTTTCTTCTCCAGTGGCTTCTTCCGGTGTGCTTTCGCCCGTTTCCTCGATACTTGATTGAGGAGTAGATGTAGCCGATTCGTGAGGTGCAATCTTTATCTGTCCCCCTTCCTCTTTCGTTATATCCATTCCGAATGCTTGTACCTAAAATTTGAATTATTCGATAAATTTGTTTATTTCTTTTTTTTTTATCTGATGATTCCGATTATTTTTTTCGAACCTGTAGATTAGACTCATCCGGAGTTGGTGGCAAAGCGGGCAAATGTCTCGATGGTTTCTCCTCCTCTTCTTTTACCTCGACTACGGGCTCTTCCACGTGTGGTCCTTTCATCAATGCCAATAGTAATCTCATGAAATATCCGATTATGCAACCAACACCGAAACCAGAATAATAAAACGCGTAGAAAATCATTTTAAAGAAGCCGATAAAGAGTTCCAAAAATGTCATCTGTTGCATCTCAGCGATCTTGTTCTTGATGTTGCTAGGAGAGAATATGGAGAAGAAGAAGTAAATGCTATCCTTAAACGTTTGGATGCCTCTTCTGATAGGATCCTTGTTTCTTTCCTCATCATCATCCGTCATATAAGTATAGGAAGATTCTCTGGCCTTTCCGATTCCTCCACTTTCTTCCACTGCCATCAATGCACTCGCGTGTTGCATTTCAAAGATGGCGTCTTCGCAGAAGTTGATGAAAGTCTCCAATTTTTCTTTCTCTCCTGCCTCTACTACGGTATTGTAGAAATATGTCCTCTTCGACTCTTTAATTTGTGGTTTCTCCCATTGTTCGATGTTTGATTCCTTGATCTCAAAGTATACGCGTTCGATCTTCTTGTTTCCACCGAGAATCTCGATTCTGCCGAGATACGGCTCGAAATAGTTCAACACAGAGCCTGCTGTTTCGAGGAATCTCGCTAATCTGGGTTCATTAGGCATATGCTCCGATAAATTGGTTAACAGAACGGCAAGATTGAAACCGATTTCTTTAGCCGGTTCGTGGAAACGGTCCATGAAAGCCACATAGTCGATTTTACCGTCGTGGTTCGTCTCGCAACAGGCCAATAAGAATTCGATTTCCTCGCTGCAAAAATTTCATTATGAATTTTTCGTTAATCATCATGGAAGCACAAAGAATAATACTTACTCGGTATAGCTCTTCTGTTGTTCCATTTTTTCTTTAAAATCTTTCGGATACACCCAGCCATCGCTGTTCAAATCCACCTCTAAGAAGCTAGGAGATGATACGAGATCTTTCAATTTCAAGAACATGTCGAAGTATTTGAGAATCAATTCGACATTGCCTGCAGATTCTACCAATGTATCCACCATCTGTTTTCCAATAGTTCCATTTACGACATTACCTGCAATGACAAAAATCGTGAGACATTCATAAAAAAAAAAAATTAATATTATCGAAGTTCTTGATCAATTGAGTAATTACCTTCCAGCATAGACAACATCATAGTGATCATATCTTTTTGTAAGTTGAGCAACTCCTTCAATAAATCCACCTGACTCGAGTGTTTGGACAACTTGTCTTGCATATGAGAGAAAAGGAAAAGGAATCCACCAACCGCATCCCACAATCGAGAATGTGCCAGTGCTTGTTGATTCTGTGCGCAAGGTCCTTGAATTACCTCAGTGAGAGTATTGAACACTTGACTGGCAACGCCAATAGCTTTGAAAAAATTAGCCTTGCCGGCAGGGTCGATGAGTTCCTTGCTGGAATAATGCCAATAGAAGTCCATGATGGATTCTTGGAGTCGCAGTAGATAATCGACGGTGCAGATGACTACGTTCACCGTTGTTGTGTTACCAGCTTGCGTTCTTAAATAATTCTGCCAATCTATTGATATCGAAAATTACACAAATTTATTTTTTCTTTTTATTATTCAATCATTTTGAGGAAGATTATATCGAGGATGAAACTTACCAAGATTATGACCCTCGCAAGTCAGTTGGATAAAACGAAATAGAGCACATGTAAATTCAGCATCGTGCATGTTCTTCTCTCCAGCAGCTCCCTCGGAACCGACACCAAGACCTTCCGCTTTCGTGTTCCTTTCGAACGCATCCAGGTCCAGTACGCTGCAGGAATTCATGAGACCGGCAATCGATGTGAAGAATCCTACGTCCTTTTTTTCTTTTAAATGGTTGAGCATTCCTCGTTGAATCTCTATATTACCGCCGCGTAGGATGGAGATTCCCAATTCCAAGGTCTTCATCACCATCTCGCTGGGAACACCTTTGCAGGCTGAGATGTGAAGCAATACCATCTCTGCCACGCCACGATTCGCGAGTCGTGCTTGGTGGAAAAGAAGCTTCTGCTTTTCCATTTCTTGTTCCTAGATATGACAGATGAAAGTAAATTTTGAAATTGAGAAAGTTCAAGGATTTTAATTTCTATTTACCAAGTATCTTACCATAAGTTTGTGCATCGGTCGCTTTAGGAAGAGCGTTAAAGAAAGCATCATAGAATTGATTATTGATATATCGGGAATATTTATGATATATTGGGTTCTTGGTTATTGATATCAGCAATGTCTATGATATTCTTCGAGAAGGAAATATAATGATGTGGAAACGAAAATTTTTTTAGAGAGTGATCAGGAAACTGGCTACTTTTGATGCAAGCGTATTTACATATTTGTACTCATATATGTATATGTGTGTTCGAATAGGAATCAATTTTGTTTAATCAGATCAACTACGATGAACGAAATTTTTTGGGTCGATCGATACTGCGACGAGCAATGGTAGCAATCGGATTTTTTAAGTTGAAACGAAGTCAATTACATATAAAAGCAATTGAATTTCCACAAACGAC